ATATTCTGTCGTCATTTACTCACCCTCAAGTTGTTCTAAACCTGTATGAGTATATTTTTTCTGCTGAACACAAAAGATGATGAGTTGATCAGTATTTGACAGTTGATTGGTATTTTTTTTTATCATGGACGTCAATCAATGGGGTCCATCAATTGTCTGGTTACCCATATTCTTCAAAATATCTTCTTTTATGTTTTACAGAAGAAAGAATCTCATAGAGGTTTGGAACAACTTGAGGGTGAGCAAATGAAGACAGGATTTCATAATTCATTTTTGGGTGAACTCACCTTTTAATTTTAGCATATACATGTATGTTACATACAAATAGTTATGAATTCTTATGAGATAAGGTTAAAAGGTTTGACAAATTTTGTTTTTTTTTCTTTTCCCAATTTTGACATTTCCTATTTCTTTAGTTTTAAGCACAGCCATGAACTATGATTTGATATGATATTTAATGCATGATATCACAAATTTAAGAGTTTACTACCAAAAAGTTGACCTCAAAGCTCACTAAAATGGACTAAAAGTCATAAAACTCCAGATTATCATTAATATCATCCTTCCACTACAGTCAGACTTGTCAACCTACCTAGTGCTAAGGTAAATAGTTGGTCTCTAGGTATTACACCGTGATGTACAGGTGAAGAGGTGATTTGTAGATGTAACGCTGTATTGACCAATCAGCATCCAGAATGGGAGCCGTTTTGTGTCTCAGAGAGCGGAGATAAAATCATCTATGAGAGAACAGAAAGATCATTTTGATTTCAGACCAGATCGCAATCACAAATCAACTACTGATGAAATTATCTGATGATCTGTCAACAATATCACCGATCTCACAGTGCCAGCACTGAGAACAGACAACTGTTTAACTAGACGATCTGTCGGATGATTGACAGTGCTAACAAGTGTGAGAAAGAAGCCACATTTCCACACACACGTCACATCAAAGAGCAGAACAAGCATGACACCATTGAATCTGACTTGCTGAACTTGAGCCACCCTCACCGATGACCCTTTTTATGGCTTATGAGGAGCGTCGCTCATGAATGCCTCCGATTTTGCAGCGCATGGTTAATGGTGACATTTGGCTGTCGGGGTGCTCGGAGTAAAAGCGTCCCGCACACACAGTGGCCTGCGGCTGGGGCTCTAACAATGGTCCGGCCCACAGTGGACACACACACTTCCAGCTGTGGCTGACCATCCTGGCCTCTTCTCTGGCTCCCATGAAATTGGAAATTATCAGGGCCGTTTCTGGTGACAAATCATTGTCTGTGCATTCCTGCCACTTTCCGAGGAGGAGAACAGACCCAAGGAGAGAAGAAACTCTTTTTGATGGGACTTGAAGGCTGACCTCGTCACCCTTATCCTTCAAAATGCTGACCCCAGAGATGGACTCAAAGTGTGGCCTGAGGTTGACTCTCTTAAAGTGCTGCATTGATCTTTAACCGTTCCCACATTTCCTGCAGAGGCATTGCGACCTTCACTATGCCAACGGGAATACTGGATTCTTCCATCTCCTTGCCTATACCTTTAACTAGAGGCTTGTGAATAGGGTTTGTATGGTAAACCTGTGGTATCTCCACTGACCTGCGGCTGAACTTTGCTGTACCAACAGCATCTTTTCAAACTCATGCTACTGCGGCCAAAAAAAAGGAGGCAGTATCTGTTTATAAATGACGTTTCCTTCACAGAGCAGTTGCTGCTTGGCTAAAGGCTGAGGAAGTGAGTTTAGCTCAAGGAGGAGGAACACAAAAAGATAAAGGGAAAGCAGTGACCACCAGTTGTGTTGCCAGAGGGGCTGGTCTTAATATCAAACCTAAATTGATACATTTCTTACAGTCAAAGATTTATCAAGGAAAACAAATAGTGCCAACTAAAAATAGCACTCTTGCAAAGAAGTACTGCAGTGGTACAGAATAATCATTACAGGGGACCAGGGCATGTTGTTGAAGAGGTTACACCTCATTAACTAAGATTTTTAAGTCAAACCAGACAAATGTGTTTTCTTGATAGTAGTTCTTTTGTTGTTGTTTCAAAGCCATCTTTTATATTGGAATAATTAAAGTTTTAGTTAGGAATCCTGTAAGCCAAAGTTCCAGTATCATAGTATTTTGGTAATAGCATGTGAACACAATAAAAGTGCAGACATACATGAAACAGGGTCCACACCACAGTATATCCAGTCATCTAATGAATGCATTTCAGATAAGGTGAGCTGCGTTTATCATAAATGTCACAGCAGGGCAAGTTGTCACGTATCTTATATTAAACAATGTAGTAATCACTGTATTTGATGATGAATAATAAACCAACTGACATTTTTTTCGTAATTGTTTACTCTTTAGATTTGACTAAATAAGCCTATAGTTGGTCATTAATAATCTATAACTTATAATAATCCATTATTAGCCTGTTAGTTGTTTTTTTTTTATGTCCCATTTTGTCGTGGCTAATAACAGTGAAAATATTAAATAGTTGTTTGGTAGTCAAATCATTAAGCTAGAAACTGACATTAAAAATGCCAGTAGTATTAACACAAACTGACATTATAAATAAGCCTAAAATAAGACTTATATTCACTGGAGCAAAGGGTGAATATTGCAGAAACATGCTAGGAACCTGCTGATACAGTCAGTAGCAGTTTTTCTAGATTTACCTAAATACAAGATAATATCATATCAGATATAATTGGATAAAATAAACTTTCCATTTCAGTATGAATATTGATTAATGTATTTTTGCACGTTGCGTTCTAACCAATATGTAGTTAACAGAAACGGTAAAGAAAAAACAACAACAATTACCTTAATAGATTAGCAATAGCTTATTTGAAGACTTGAGTGGGTAACTGACTCTATCATTACGCATACACGATGAGACTAAAATATCGCATTTAAGAAAATGGCTTGAAGCAACTGGTCGCCATGAAGTCTCATAAACCAGAAACAAAAAGGGCTTTAGCGCCCCCTACTTCTCATGGACGTATGACCTAGCTTTAGATCTTCCGCTGATAACGGCAGTTAATGTAATTATTGCTACTGTAAAACCTTAAATATTTCTATAAAGCCTACAAAACAAATCTTAAACTTAAAAGGACACAAAAGCAGTAGTGGAAATCACCTTTTCGCGTCGCAGCCGATCACAAAGCGTTTATGACCTGCGACTGGGACAGAATCGAAGTTCTGTGGTGATCCTGTAGGGCAGGGTTCCTCAAATCTTGTCCTGGAGGGCCAATGCGCTGCAGAATTTAGCTCCAACCCTGATCAAACTCACCTACCTGTGATTTTCTAATGATCCTGAAGACATTGACTAGAATGCTCAGGTGTGTTTGATTAGAGCTAAACTCTGCAGGAAAGTGGATCTCATGGCCAGATTTGAGGATCACTGCTGTAGGGTTTTCCTGCCAGGCTTTATCTCAAACACTTCGATTCAAACACTGGCTAACAGCTAAACGTCGTCTAGGTAGGACAGCTGATTTGTCATGTCATGTGTTCTCTTGATAACAAAAGTACAAGATAATATAATGCACACGAGGAGACTTTCCGCAGTCACATTTTTGCCTTTTTAGGGGTTTTCAATGAGGAATCTGCAGACAGATAGGCTACAAAAAATAACTTCATAAGGATTTTCTTTAAAAAAAAAAATCTATATATTTCTAAATATATTTATAAGTGTAGTACACTAATACGTCAAGCTTTCTTGTAGCATGCAATGTTGGCTAATGAATCTGTAAAGATTAGGCCTACAAAAAATCTGACCACTTCACATTTTGTGTGTTGAATGTTTGGGGAAATTGTCTTTTGACTTCCTGCTTGTTGTGAAGGTTTGGGAGACATTAACATGATGACCATGAATATGAAAGCTCAAACATTACTACTTTTTATATTTAGACAACCGCCTTCAAAGACCATTCATCTGTTTTCATGTCATGCAGACCAAAAGGATTGGTTTTTGAAAATCACTAGTTTTATTATTGATTACTAAAAATAAAAATAAAGATAAAAAAACAAAAAATTCAACCACCAACGACATTTTTCTTTTCCCTTTATATGTCAAAACATTTAAAACACTTAGAAAACCATTATTTTTCGGTCATTTTTTTGTACAAAGAGGATAAACACTGAGTCTGACAAACCACAGGGTTTCAATATTGTCATCTCACTCTCTGCTTGTTTCGAGAAACACTAGAATTCACTTTTTGTAAACTTCAAAGTGACCTGACGATAGACAGCGAACACGCTAATAAACTAACAGCTTCTTACACAGACATGAGAAGCCAATGACTCTTCAGAATGGAATGGAACGCTCTTCATAATGGCCATTCAACTTTTTTATCTTTACATTTAACTACTCCGAAATGGCAGAAAATATTCACGAATAGGAATCTCTCTTTGCGAAATCTTCTTGAACTTGTTTAGCCTGTTGACGGGGAGAAATCGACACATTTAAGACACACTGAGTGTGCAAAAGAGACAGCACATGGAAAATGACTGACAAAAAAAAAAAAAACTTTCCATTTTACTTCAAATTAATTTTGCGATCAATTATATGGCTTAAATGAACTTAAAAGAAGAAAGATTTATATATATCTGAAGGATGTGTCTTTGGTTTGCTGACTTGCAATTGGCACCGAAATAAAAAGGCAGAGAAAGATGGCAAAGGAGATAAATTTGTTATTTTTTCAACATGGTTGCAGCTTTTATAACACGGATGCTTCAGATTTTCAATGAGGTTCTCAAATAACAGAATCTGACCCGAACCTTAGAAAATAAATATGATAAACTAATATGTCTAAAAGTGCTGGTGAAAATAATTCAGTAAGCACGCAAGATGAACACACAGACAGTGCATGAGATGTGGAGAGCGGGTCGTTCTGTTGGTCCTGGGGTGTTTGTGAGGCCACGTTTCAATTGGCTCTTTCCTCCCTAAGTAGTGTACCTGCTCTGTGTGAAAGCTGTTGCCAAAGGGCAAACTACTGAGTGAGCCGTTTGAGGTCAGTCCTGTCTCACCACTCTTTCTTCTTCTCATCCATGGACACTCCACCTGGACCTAGTGCTACTACCAGCAGAAGGCCTCCGATCACCGATGTGGTCTGGAAGAAGTCGTACTTGAGGAAGTCGTGCATGGGCTTGTAGGCTGGTATGGTCCAGAAAGCGTTGAAGTACACGTTGATCGCCAGCAGCCAGATGACCAGGGTTAGGGCGGCTAGTTTAGTCTTGAAACCGATTGCTACCAGAACAATAAGTGCTGTGCCCACCAGGTTCTGCAAGATCTAAAACCAAACACAGACACATTAGAAAAAGGAAGTCAGAGAGACACCAGACTAATGTGAAACTGTGACACGGGCAACTAAATTTAACACTACAGAAATCACGTAGGCTACAGAAAACCTGGTCACGTCTGACCTCTAGTGGTGAAATGGATGATTACAATATAATCATTACTATAGCTGTGAATTGCAATGCATCAGCTAAACAATATGGTAAATTATCAACGTTTTGTTTCCAAATATAGTTCATTCAAAATTTTGGAATTAGTGCATTTTTAAAAAACTTTCAGACGTTCTGCCAAGTCATAAGATGTGGTTTATGAGCACATTTATAAAGCCAGAAAAGGCCAACTATAAACGATAATGATTCCACATTCAGTCATATATAAAACAAGGCTGACTGAAGTCTTAAATCCAGTTCTAAGCTTGATTCTAAAACGTGTTGAAATAAGCAAAACATTTGTATAAAAAGGTGATTTTGAGAAATTGTAATATTCTAAACGCAATTTCAGTAGATATTTTTTTACAAGCAACTGCCGATGTTAACATTAAGACCTTGATTAGTTTGCGATCCTAAGGATGATGTCCTGATGAATGCATCAGTGCAGAAAGTACTCATTTTTGAAACAATATACAGAGTTTACCATTCAAAAGTATGGGGTCAGCTAGATTTTTTTTTTTTGGAAAGAAATTCATTCAGCAATAATGCATAAAATGATTAAAAGTGACTGCTAAATAAATTGATATATAAAGATATTACAATATTATAATATAATATTACAAAACATTTACAAACTTTTTAAAAATACATTTATAATTTTCAAATTTATTATAGAAAACAATTAAATCATGTACAATATCATTAAATAATTAATATGAACAATTCGAAACATATAATATATAATTGCCATTCATTACTGTTACTATTATTTTCATCAAATAAACTCACAATTCTTTCATACAAAGATATCATTTTATTATATATTATATACACGTACTATTACCATTATGGTAGCACTTTACAATAAGGTTCATTAGTTAACTACATTAGTTAACATGAACTAATAATGAACTGCACTTATACAGCGTTTATTAATCTGTTAATGTTAATTTAAACATTTACTAATACATTATTAAAATCTTGTTAACATTAGTTAATGCACTGTGAACTAACATGAACATCTGTATTTTTATTAACTAACGTTAGCGCAGATTAGTAAATACAGTAACAAATGTATTGCTCATGGTTAGTTCATGTTAGTTTATACATTAACTAATGTTTAACTAATGAACCTTATTTTAAAGTATTACCATTATTACTACTATCATCTTTTCTTAATTAAAAATATTCTAGTTAATTAAAAATAATAATGACTGTCAATTTAAAAAAACTTAACTGCTACCCAGACAATTTTCATGACTGCATTATAGTAATCAGAATAATATTTTCTAGCATTACAGAAGAGATTGTCATGAAAATGGAAAAAAAAAAAAAAACTTAATCCTAAAGATTTTTAAACCTGCACAATATAATTTCTTTTTTTCCTTTTGATTTGTGAAATTGAACCTAGAGATTTCTTTGTGATTCACCCATTTCCCATGCTGTGAATATTTGCTCACCGAGAGGAAGCTTGTATCAAAGTGCAGCAGCGTCATAAACATAAGCACCAGCAGGACTCTGCCACCCAGCTGCATGTACTGTTTAGGAGAGCTTTCTCTCATAGTGGGAACCCCAGCAAACATACTCCTGCCCTCAGAGCGCGACTCCGCAAGCAGCAGCAGCAGACCTCCCCCCAGAGCCAAATTCCTGAAACACAAGAGATCAGAGCATAAAACACAGGATGATATACTCACTCTTAGCTTATCCTGCGAAGAACTTACCTCATCAAAAACTTTGGGTCCCAGAGAATGCTATAGGCAACAGTCTGGAACAGATAAAGATCAGCGCTGTAATTAAACAGTTTCACTTAATTATAGTCCTAACCAAAGATAACATCCAATTACAATCTTAAAGAACACAAACAGAATGCTCACACCTGTAAGGCGATGAGTCCAAATAATCCAAAGCAGGCATACTGCACAAAATTCCTGCTCAGGATCAGTATACAACCACCTGTAAAACAGATGATGAAACATTCCATATACAAATCTGAAGATGTTCCAAGCCACCAGAGATAATTCCTCTGAACAAACTTCTTACCCAGCTGTCCGAGTAAGTTGATTAAAACAAACAGTGTGGCCAGGAAGAAGCCACATCCCCACGTCGTCTCAATATATTCTTTCTGCTCACTCCACTGGAACCACATGCGAATGCCGTCCTCCAAGAACGTGCTAATCAGACACAGACGCGCTACGTGGGGCAGGTACTGCTTCGTCACTCGAAGGAACTAGAGATGAACAAAAAGACAAAGATATGAAAACCCCCAACTTTAGGTGTATATGCAGCAGCAATAGTAATGCTTGCCTTAGCAAACACAAATAATAAATATGCAATGTCATTCTGAACATGTCTATATTTTAAGGCAATAATTACTGATGAAAAAGGCACAGCTTTATGATCATGTGCATAGACTTCAATTAGAGAACACATCCTAGGTCAGCATAAAGGACCATGTTGTGATATTACCATTCAAAAGGTTTGAGATCAACTTTTTAAAAGAAATGCATACTTTTAATCAGCAAGGATGCATTCAACTCATCAAAAGTGACTGTAAAGACATTCATGTTACAAATGATTTATATTTTACAGCCATTTCAAGCATTTTGGGTTCACAAAAATATTAAGCAGCACAACTGCTTTCAACATTGTTAACATGAAGAAATGTTTCTAGAGCAGCAAATCCACATATTGGAATGATTTCTGAAGGATCATGTGACACTGAAGACTGGAGTGACGGCTGCTGAACATTAATCTTTTCCATCACAGGAATAAATGATATTTTTTAAAAACCTGTTATTTCAAATTGTAATAAAAAGTTCACTATATTACTGTTTTACCGTATTCTTGTTCAAATAAATGAGGCCCTGGTGAGCGTTAGAAACTTCTTTCAAAAACATTGAAAAAAAATATTTTGATCAGTAATCCAAGTCAACATAAAGGATATTTATTATAGCCTAGCACAGATTTATGCTACTAGAAAGCTATTTTAATATCTACTTACAGATGTCAAACAAAAAGCAAAAAATACATAAATCCATCCTAGTGTGAATGGTTTAGATTACAAAAGCGTCATATTACTTCAAGTAAGTGCTGAAGCAGCCCTTCAAATGAATGCTGCTTAAGGTTCAACCTCTGAACTCCAAATACCCTTTTCACTTTCCCCCACATTTTCAGTCAATATCAGAACAGAGGTGGCCAAAAGCACATCCATTTGCAACTGGTGACTTATGAGCACCTCTCAAGCATTTAAATATCACTGTGGTGTACTAGTAATAAACCTTTTCCACTTCCTCACGCAACAGGTGTTGAATAGAAATGTACAGGGAAGGATAAAGACAACACAATTTACTCTTCCAGGAAGAGTACAGGATATTATATTCTCATTGCTTAACCCTGTGCTAGCTTGTTAAATGAAAGTAAGAATTCATAATCTGCTTGTAAATGCCAGTGGTAGATTATAGAATTCTGTTATTTGTGAATGAAAATAAGCAAATTGCAGGAATACTAAAATGCATAGATTGTCAATACATGGCAGGGTTTCATAATAAGACTCTCTAAACCAGCTGGTGATTAACTCAACACTCTTATGTGAGCTTTGACACCAGCCTCTGCTAAGCCCCGCCCCAAGACGATCCACATCAGCACTAAGAAGAAAACGGGCCAATCAGCATTCAACAAGTACCAAGCAAGACCAAATGAATGGGAAGAGATCTCAGGGCCAATGTCTGCCTGTGTGTCAATACCTTACTCGCAGTCTGTGTGCCTGGAGGGTATTTGACTTGTTCCCAAGCAGCACAGGAATATCGAAGAGTACAGGATTTGCCTTCTGTTACATGTTATAAAAGGCAGGATTGCTGAATGAGAGTTGTATGAACCAAAAATGGGAATTTTAATATGGTTCCTGTTGCTGTGTGATAAAACTACACTTAATAATTGAAGATAGCTGTCATTGGCTGGGGTTTAATCAACTTAATGACTTTGAAAATCAGGCCATAAATAAATAAGATGAGATGCTGATGACAGTGATGGCCTTGTTTCAGCCTTGATAAAACACTCACAACTCAGTTTACACCCCCATAATTACATATTTATAAAGTTGATTTCTATTAATAAGCCCGAAACAAGAAAGGGCCCCAAACACATCCAATAATCCTGCAAATTATGCATATTCTGATATGTAAACAACATAAAGGCATCAGATGAATGTCCTGCTGTTAATTTCCTATTGCATATGGAAAACAAAACCATATTTTTCTATTATGTTGGGTATCAGGAGTAACATACACTCGTTTCATCAGATGAACAGATGTTTGAAGACACTGATGGAAACGATTCGAGGATAAAGTTTGTATGCCATTCAAACATTTTGGGTTCACAGAAATAAAGTATATGTACTTATATATCTTTAATAGTTATACATGTTAAATATTAGTACACGAAAGCAGCCAAAGCAGTTTTTCTGAACAGTTTCGCTAGTAACGTTACTTCAGCCCTTCTAGTCACAAGACCAGAATTTAGTCAATAAACAAACCTCATTTGCAGCCAAGCAAACAAGACGAAACTATACACGCAGACATGGACTTTCCTGAGCTTAGAGAGCATCTGTTTAGTACAGAAGAGTGGTCTCCGAGATTTAACGTTACTGTGTAAGTTGGCTGGCAGGGCCTTCTGTTCTCTTACCTGATCCGCCACGTCCTCCGCGTTGCTCATCAAATCATTTTGGGCCATGTCACCAAAATCCGAGAGCCGATTCCCGTCTGCAGGACACCTTGGCTTGTTTGTGTGCTTTTAATCGATATCTATGTCCGCTCGCAGGAGTGTTACAGGTCTCGCACTCGCCTTGCTTTGCCGTCGTCTGTCTGTGTACTAGAATGCCATCTCCGCCCCATAATGCACTGCAGTTCGTTCTGTCGCCGCCTGTAGGACACACATGTATCTGCATGCCACGTGTACTGATGCAGCCAGAGTAGAGCTCAAGCTGTGACCAAGTCTACTCTCACTCTGTAATAACATACATTTTCATAGACTGCCTTTTTTATCCAAGTACAAGGTTGCAAATAAATAAATAAATAAATATTTAAGGGAGGGGGGCACTATAGATGTCACCATATTTTCAAGATGGGGGTCATGAGGGGGATTACACCCAGATTCATAATAATGTCCACAACCTTGTCCAAATTGTATATGGAAACTTTAGTCCTATATTTGTAATACTTTTATTACTATTACTGGTCTATAACACTAGATTTCTTATTAAGAAAGAAAGAAAAATGGGCAATGGACAAGATTTATGTGCATTTTAATCAAGAAATCTGTTCTAGATTTGGACATTAATTGTGGAGATGAATGACTTTACTTCCTTTTCCCAAACGATGTTAAATGGAGGTGCTGAAAAATACCTTAAGTTAATGTATATTAACAATAGTTATGATGAATAAGAATTAACAAATAATTGCAGCTCAAGTAACAACACCAACCCAGATGAATAAACTGTTGTTCAACAATTATTTATAATTATATATAAAATACAATTTAATGAAAGGAAACGAGATTTACAATATTTATGTATTTAAATGAACATTTATTTCTTACATTTTTTGAAAGTAGCATCATTTCCTCTCACGTTTTATTCACAAATTTCCCAGAAACACTCGATGAACTCCTATGAACATGAAGATTATTTTTATTCGGTCTTTGCCAACTGTCTCTTTAACCTCAATTGATTGTGTTCTCCTTTGAGTTCGACTGTGATGCATGACACGAACTGTTTGTGGGTGCTGAGCTCACATTTTCTTGCTCTTCTGAGTAATGCACAGGGTCACAGGATGTCTTTTCTTTTTCACTGGACACAGATTCTGTGTGCTGTAGTTCTTGGCAGTGTGACTCTCGGCTTGACCCTGAGCCACAGTGTGGAGTACATATTAAGTGCTTCATGACCACGGTGGGCTTCTGTGGTGCTCCAGAGTGTTTTGAGCGTGGAGACTTGGATTTGTGAGCTCTCTTAGATGGCTTAAGCTTCCTCGAGTGTAAGCACTCTCTTGAGAAATTGATGTGTGGTCTGTTGAGATCTGCTTGGCTGCTGTCATTGGCACAGGAAGCAGTGAGCTCCAGGCACCGAGGGTCGCTCATTAGGCTGCTACATGACACATCACTCTCACAGTCATCCTGAGGTGGCTTCTTCTGCATTTTCAGAGCATTGTGTTTCTGAAAATCAAATACTAATCTGAGCATTTGGCATTGAATTCACTTTTTTGTAGGGATGTAACGATTAACCGCGAGCTGGTTGAAAATCGATTCAAATATGTGACGATTCAAATCGGTTGAGATGCTAAACAAATCGCGATTCATTTAGGGGTAGGAGTTTATATGAATCCATGTCTGAGGGGAACTTACTGTCTTTAGAAAAGTTTAGATGGTATTTTTTCTTTTCATCTTGCCTCTGTAACGGCCAGCGAGTAGGTTCTGTGCAGGTAAACCTCACTCCCCTGATCTCAAGAGACGCACTAGCAACTGACGCTAGAGGCCTTTAGCCTCCTTGTTAGTGTGTTCGCCTCCCATGCCGGAGACCCGGGTTCGAGACCCACTTGGAACGAGAACGAGGTGTGGCGGTGAGGACCCGGGAGAGAGGGGTTACATTGGTGCCGTGACCCGGATGGGAGTGAGGTCTGGGGGGGGGGGTGAGTGTAACGGAGGCCAGCGAGTAGGTGCTGTGCAGGTAAACCTCACTCCCCTGATCTCAAGAGACGCACTAGCAACTGACGCTAGAGGCCTTTAGCCTCCTTGTTAGTGTGTTCGCCTCCCATGCCGGAGACCCGGGTTCGAGACCCACTTGGAACGAGAACGAGGTGTGGCGGTGAGGACCCGGGAGAGAGGGGTTACATTGGTGCCGTGACCCGGATGGGAGTGAGGTCTGGGGGGGGGGGGAGTGTAACGGAGGCCAGCGAGTAGGTGCTGTGCAGGTAAACCTCACTCCCCTGATCTCAAGAGACACGCTAGAGGCCTCCGCTTTAGCCTCCTTGTTAGTGCGTCCGCCTCCCATGCTCGAGACCCACTCGGAACGAGAACGAGGTGTGGCGGTGAGGACCTGGGGAGAGGGGTTACACCTCTGTATAATGCATATTAAAGTTCATAAGTGCAGTGCTGCTTTGTTTACAGCGGAAACCAAGGAAACGCTTTAAGTGCCACCTGCTGGCAGAGAGTGAATCTGCGTCTCATTCAGCTCGTCTGCTGTTTTAATGCAGATATTTTAATGTATAGTTTCACAAAACTGAAGTCAAACCATTCTGTTTTTGCTTCAAATTTCGAAATTATACAATCCAATTTAGATTAAAAATTGCTCGTGTTGCATGTATGCAGCATCTTTGTTTGGATCATGATTAAAATGCAGTGGTTGCCTCTAATTTTAAATGGAAAGAGCACAGACAAAGCCTTATATTGTTTATATGAAGAGATTTATTTTATTTGTGTTACTTATTTATTTGATTTGGGGCTTGTTTTAAAATTTCTATTTAGTTTTGTTATTTACATTTACATTATATTTAAAGTTTGTTATTTAGCAGATGCTTTTATCCAAAGCGACTTACAAATTAGGACAATAAAAGCAATCAAAACCAAAAAAAGAGCAATAATATGCAAGTGCTATATTAGTATATTATTATAGTATTATATTTCAATTTGACAAAGAAATGTGCAACATTTTGTCCAAGCAATAATAAAAGGACACATTTAATTTATAATTTGTCTTAAATCTCATTTTGTAAAAAAAAAAAAAAAAAAAAAAAAAATTCGTGAATCGAATCGAGAAATCAAAATCGTGAATCGAATCGAATCGTGAGTTGAGTGAATCGTTACATCCCTACTTTTTTGTTAAAAAATTCCTTCTACATTATTTACAGATATATTTCTCAGTATTTTAGCTGCATTACGTTCAATGTACCATATGATCAGACCATCATACAGAGCTGTTCAGACATAGTCAAAATATTTACTACCACCCATCAGTTATTAAAAAAAAAAGTATTTTATGCTCACCAAGGCATTTATTTGAACAAAAGTACAGCAAAACAGTAATATTGTGAAATATTACTCATAAATATGATTTAAAATATAACTTACAAATAATGAATATTATAGTATTATATTTCAATTTGACAAAGAAATGTGCAACATTTTGTCCAAGCAATAATAAAAGGACACATTTAATTTATAATTTGTCTTAAATCTCATTTTGTTTAAAAAAAAAAAAAAATTCGTGAATCGAATCGAGAAATCAAAATCGTGAATCGAATCGAATCGTGAGTTGAGTGAATCGTTACATCCCTACTTTTTTGTTAAAAAATTCCTTCTACATTATTTACAGATATATTTCTCAGTATTTTAGCTGCATTACGTTCAATGTACCATATGATCAGACCATCATACAGAGCTGTTCAGACATAATGTCAAAATATTTACTACCACCCATCAGTTATTAAAAAAAAAAGTATTTTATGCTCACCAAGGCATTTATTTGAACAAAAGTACAGCAAAACAGTAATATTGTGAAATATTACTCATAAATATGATATAAAATATAACTTACAAATAATGAATTCAATATGAATATATTCTTTTAAAAATGTAATTTATTTCTGTATGTATTTCTGCGATAATCCAGTCTTCAGTGTCACAGTGATCCTTTAAAAATTCTAATATGCTGATTATATGCTCAGTTATTATTGGTTCTTATTGAATTAAAAACAGAAATTTTTGCAGATTTATTTTTGTGGAAACAGTGATACATTTTTAAGAATGCTTTACTGAACAAAGTTCAAAAGAACAGTAGTTATTTACAATAGAAACCATTTTTTAACATTTTAAGTCTTTATTGTTGCTTTTGATCAATTTAATGCATCTTTTCTGAATAAAACTATTAATTTCTTCTTATTTTCCTCTTATCCCAAACTTTGGAATGGTAGTGTTTTCAGTATTAATAATAAGAAATGTTTTTTTTTTTTTAGAACTAAATCATCATATTTGAATGATTTCTGAAGGATCATGTGACACTGAACACTGGAGTAATGGAATAAATTACATTTTAAATTAAAATATATTAAAACAGAAAACAGGCATTTTAAATAGTAGAAGGTATTTCACAATATTATGTTTTTTACTGTATTTCAATCAAAACAGGTGTGAGCACGAGATTTTATTTAAAAAACATTACAAAATCTTACTGACCTCAAACTTTTTAACAGTGGTGTAGTTAAAAAAAAATTACAACAGCTTCAAAATTCACATTTGAGTTTTGACTGTGCAATTAATCACAATCTGACCGGCCATTACATTATTTGAAAGATCTACCACTTTTACACCAGGCTATTATTGTAGTATCACTGATTTCAGATTTGCCTTAAATGACATATACATTAATTTCAAATTCCATCATTTTCCTCACCTGTAAGTTCTGGAAGTGCATAAGAGACTTGCAGTGAGTTTCCCGAGCAGAAGACTCAAAGTGGTAGAATTTATGACACAGCTTACAGAGGAAACCAGCGACAGGGACCACAAAACTAGTGCCTAAAGGTCAGAAAGCAGTCAGGTCTGTCAGATGAACTTACTCACAAACTATTCTTTGACAGTCTACTTTAGAGAAGTGGTTAAAGTCCAGCACTCACCATACTGTGTGTCTGGCTCATATGCCTCATAATCAGTCGTCCCTTCCAAAGCCATATCCCTATGACCAGGATGCTATGAACAAAATTCTAATAAATAAATAAAAAAAACTCCAAAAGGGACTCTAATTTAGAAAAGCACATGCAACTAACCTTCTCAAACACTGCAATCTCTTCTTCATTTCTATCCTCCTCATAATCATCTTCCCCTTCAAAGCAGCCAATAGCATCCACTGTTATGAGCTCCTCCATAACCTCTGGGTCACCCTCGTTTCTTAACTGTAACAAATGTTGAAATAAATAAGTTGTATTCAATTTC